TATGCCACATGGTCAGGAACGTGAGGAATTCTTAGGATTGACGTTGTCCCCCCAGTCTGCAGGACTGGTAGGAAATTCTAAATGCTAGGGACCTTCCAGCCCTGCCTTTACGCTGCATGAACTGTCTGGCTCTGAGCCTAGGGTTCAACAATGCATAGTTTTGCTGTTCTGAAGGCTTATTCTAGGAAGGCAGCTCTTGCCTGGGAGAAGACAGCTCCTCCGCCTCCCTCCTGCAGTTAAAGTCAGGTATGAGCAGCCCTAGAGTGAGTCCAGGTAGCTTTGTACACACGTTAGTAAAAGCATAAATAAAGGGCTCTGGACTGCACTGGCGTGTGGCTGTAATTGATGATGCTTTCTACGCCCTTTACTTGGCAAAACTGAAAGCCTAAAGACAGGTTTGGTTTTGCACCAGCTGGTTCACACTCTGAATTAGTACTAGAAGGTGATCGTCACCATGGACAAATCAATATCGACTATCCCACCGTGATGCACTTTCACCCACTCTAGAGCCCAGGCAGGGAAACAGCAGGGTGGGGTGGGGCAGATGGAGGCTCTGGGTGAGTTCCCTGCAGGGCCCACCAGACGTTAAAGAACTGAGATGGGCAAGTCATTTCCGCTGTCTGGATCTCTGTTTTCTCATCTGTAAATTGACAGGTTTGGAAAAATCTCCAAGATTGCCTCCATCTCCAGTGTTCTTTGGTTATGAGATTTATTTACACATGGAGAGGGCACCTGAGGGTCACTCCCAAACTCTGTTTTCCTCAAGCCTTTCTGTTCGTGGCCACCCCACCTCGTCCCAGCACCCTGTGTAATGCCGTGACTCCTTTTCCCTTTGTGACCGAATGAAGCACACTGAGGAGTTTCCTATTTAATGTCCCCAGATAGCAGGCTGGTTTTAGGCGGCACAGCGACAGCTTTGAATATGTAAGACCTCCTTCCCTGAGCTCATTTGCTCTTTCTAGCCAACCTTGCTTGTCTTCCTGAATACATCTGGAATCTATAAAGGGTTATTTTCATGTGGCTCTAAGAACTATTGTCATCTCTTTCATCTTGGCCCAGATGTCCCAAACCATCATCATGCCTCTGCCCAGATGATGGCTGTACTGTCTTCTGACCAGACCCTTCTGGAAATGTACTGGATCACCTTGTAAGATCTGTGCTCTCCAGCTGTTCCTAAAGCAATGACTCTTGTCTTCGAGTAAATACATTTTTAGAGTTATGAAAAATCTCAATAGAGCTCTGAGCCCGCTCCGTCCCATGGGCTTATTCTCTGTCACTTTGCAGACCCAGAAACTGAGGCCCAAAGAGACTAAATGACATCTGCAAGGACTGACACATGGCAGAGCACCTTCTAGATCAAGACGAAATCCCTTGCTATTGCATTGTGCTGCCTTTAAACACACACAAGTGATTTTACCTTATTTCAAAGCGACAAAAAGTCTACAATCGTGATTTCACCTAATGGCAAATGCTTAGTCTTGTCTTTGTAAATTGCCCTTTTTGGTTACCGTGGAGAAAGCTTTAGACAGTAATCGCAGACACACCGCTTGACTCCGTTGTACACTAGTTTCCTTATGTTCAAGTGGGAAAATGCACCTGCCCTTTCCTCTCTCACAGGAAGGTTGTGTTGGATTTTTCCAGGCCTTGGAATCATTCCAAAGGATCAGGCATTTTGTGTAAAATAGCATTGACTCTTTTGATTTTCTTCTTGTCTATCAGATAAAGCTCTTAATAAATTTTTTTTTCATAGTGATATGAAAGGCATATTCTAGGTTGTGACAAAGTGTTCCTTACTTGTGGTATTTGAAAACCACAAGTCTTAAAAAAAATTATTTCACGTACTGGAAGTAAGTTTTGTGGATTGGGACTATGAGTGTGACTATTAAAACAGTGAATTGAAGCTGGGCAAGGTGGCTCGTGCCTGTAATCCCAGCACTGTGGGAGGCTGAGGTGGGGAGGATACTTGAGGCTACTATTGTAGCCTGGGCAACAGAGCAAGACCCCATCTCTATAAAAAAATTTAGAGAGATGTGGTGTCATGTGCCTGTAGTCCCACCTACTCGGGAGGCAGAGGTGGGACGATCACTTGAGCCCAGGAGTTGGAGGCTGCAGTGAGCTGTGATTGCAACACTGTACCCCAACCTGGACAATAGAGAAAGACCCCTGTCTCTTGATAAGAAAGTGAGTTGAGACAGATTGAGATTAGAATTTGTAAGGTTTTATATCCCAGGATTAAGACACAGCCAAAATCCCAATGCAAAGTCTGTGTAAATGATTACAACAATGCTCTTTGGAAGTGAAGGGAAAAGCAAAGGCTTTGGGAGGAGCTAAGGGGTTCTTACATTATTTGATTTTTCATTTCTGGCCCTTGATAAACTTATGCGTTGCCATGTACATAGCATTAGCGAACATTTCTTTAATTAATGAGTACAGTAAATGTCATGAATCGTTATTCTGAACTATAAAGCTTCCCATTTTAATCAAACTAGAGTTGGAGAGACTATAATAGGAAAGGCATTACTGTAGGTAAGTCTGTAATTATAACACCAAATACACCTGACTCCACACATATTACACACCGGACAAAACGGTACAACCACAATTCAGTGGACCCTTGGTTCTCCCATGTGGTCTGCAGACCAGCTGTATCAGCATCAAGTGCCTCTGAAAATGCCGCACCCGTGACCTGCTGGCTCAGAACCTGCATCTCCACATGGTCCCCAGGTGCTTTGGTTGCTCATTAAGTCTGAGCAGCACTCACTAGGCAGCTTTCAGTTTCGTTCTCCTGCATTGGCCCATGCGAAAATGTTACATTTTCCTAATCTAGTATGCATAAAAAAAACGATCTATGAAACTGGGGCTGCTACACTTCCATCTTTTGCTGGAGACAGTTCTCCTTTTACTCTTCCCTGCTCTGCAAAAAGTTATTTTACCTGTATTGTCAGTTTGGCAAAGTTTATACTCTGTTCCAGCTGGTCTCTTCCAGCTAGCTGGCTTTCATAGACATGATTGTTCCTGCTTTGATTTCATGCCTGAGGATCATTTGCAGTCTTACAATTCCTAGAGTTCTTTTTGAGTTTCAATAAATACTCTTTTGCAAATTAATGTTTGCGAGGAAAAAAGTAAGACTATTAACGAAGAGCAATGATTGCTTTTCTTTTTGCTAGTTTGTTTTAAACCCCAAAAGGGGACATGCACTTTGATTTTCTTCCTTTATATTCTAAGTGGGAAGTAGTGTTAATTAGGAGATTTTGTGAGAAAAAAAATGTAATTGAGAATTAGACTCTTGTTAAGATATCCATTTTCATTCTAAAAATCATTTTCATCTTTCTCCATCTATCTAATGAATTTCACTTATCTTAAAAATAATTGAACACTAGCAAAACTTGATGTTTATTGGGGGTTACATTGATTTCTTGTTCTCTCAAGTTTTCTAACAAGCAAAGGAAAGCAAATTCAGTTGATTGGCAGTGTTGGCTCTGCGCGTGGCAGGTGTGCCTGCTTGCTTTGGGATCGGGATGAGCTATCCCAGAACGTAACCACCCTGGGAAGTGAGGATTCGATCATGGGCCCCTTCCCTCTGCAAGTGCCAGGCACGCGTGAGCCACTGCGCCCTTGCACTCTGCTTCTACCCTGTTGAACCTGATGGATTCAGTCCCGTTGGATCTCATCTAGAAAGGAAGAAAAGGATAAGGAGATGTGAACATACTGGACAGAAGGGAACTCTTTCATTGAAATCCCGGGGCAGAACTGTCACCTGCCTCTCTGAAGACATCTGTCCCTGTTCCCTTAACTAGACAGTGTTTGGTCCACTGGGGCCTTTGAATGCCCACTTTGAGAGAGGAAGTTGAAGGGAGAAAGTCTGTCTGCCTTTGATCTCACACTGGTCCAGTGGGGCCCAGCGGGGAACGCAAGTCGGTGCTTGAGCACCATCAGCAGGGGTGAAGGCCACACTTCCTTGGATGCCAGGAAAACCCCGCTGGTCTGGATGGCCAGTGTCAGAAGGTTGGGGCCAGGTTTCCTAGAGGCTCTAAGAAAAAGGTGATTCCAACATAAGAGTCATGTGAGACAAGAAGGCTTGACTTGCCTAGTTAGAGTGTTGCTGGCATGAACCAGATCCTGCAATGAAATGATGCCAGAAAAGTCCCTCCTTGCCAACCCTGCGAGAGATCGGTAGTTCTCAGAAATGACTAAAGACAGGTGGAGGATGGCCCAAGTCCAAACCTTCTGAGGAGGAGCTGTTTTAGAGCATGCTCACCCAGGCTCCTGGCTCCTCCCGCCTGGCCACACCACGGGCAGCAGAGTTTATGGGTTGAGTGTAGTTTACGAGTTGAGAACTTGGGTTCTCAACACTAGCAAAACTTGATATTTATTGGGGGTTGCATTGATTTCTTTTCTTCTTCTCTCAAGTTTTCTAATAAGCAAAGGAAAGCAAATTCCAGCCACATCTGGGTTGGAATTCTTTCTAGCTCTTCCCTCACTAGCCGTGTGACCTTTGTCCAGTTGTTAGGCCTTTTTTTTACGCTATCTCATCTATAAGGTGGCGATGGCAGTACCATGGCATGGGGATGCCATCAGAATTCGGAGAAATACTCTGTGCATAATGCTTGGCTCGATACCTGCCATGTAAGGAGATTCTCAGTGACTCCAGAATTTTCTTTCATGACTGGAACCTAATTTTATTCAGAAGAAAAATGTGAGCTCTTGGCCAACTCTGAAAAGAAGAACAAGGTGCATAAAGCAACTGCAGTTATATTCCAGGCATTAGCCTGCTTGGAGGACCTTAGAATCGTAGTCCGTACTCGAGCTGTTCTTACTTCATTTGAAAGGCATGCCCTGCGAGTTAGCATGAACATAAAATGTTGTCATCCTATTTAGCAGTTTTTGCCAAACACAAATGCTTTTGAAAATTTACTATGGCTGCAAATTATCTGGGGAATCACAAAAGCACACCTTTAACGGGCTCTCTTCCCTCCTCTCCTCTTGCCCCAACCGAGAAGAATTCTCTGACCAGGAGCGCGCCCCTTCCCAATGACTCCCAGGCTCGCAGCGGAGCACGTTTTCACACCTCCTACGACAAAAGATACGTCATCAAGACCATTACCAGCGAAGACGTGGCCGAAATGCACAACATCCTGAAGAAATACCACCAGGTAATCTTTCCTTTTTCTTCATGTGACACTCATGAGAAGGTTAACATTCGTAACTATCTATCACGGAGACCAAAGGTTTAAATATAGAGTTAGGAAACAAAGAGAACACATTTAACATAAAAATCTCCTTTAGCCCGGTTTTCTAGAATTAGTGTGGCCGCATTACTGGCAGTTAACATTTCGGAATGCTTATGCTACAAAGATGCTTATTTATATAGCACTTTTAATCTAAACACTCTTGTGTATAATACGCCATAGATCACCACTCTGATCTTAAAAATCACTCAGTTTAAATCTGGCAACTTCTCAGAAGATTTTTTTGGAACAGAAGTTAGGTGTTGGGCTCTGAGTCTGTTCATTTATACCTCCAAATCCCATGCTGCTCTGACGGGTCTCTTCCCATCCTGGCGCCTTTTTGTCCCTGAGGACTGTCCCTTCATAAATGCCAGGGGGTGAAATGGACCACCCTTGGGAGCAGCGGGCTCTCTCTCATGGAGTAAATTCCGGCACAAGTTTGCCTGGTAGGGCGCCCGTTCCCAGGGCCCAGCTGGCTGTGCGAGGCCTCCCTCATCATGGAGTAGTAAGAGCATGAAGTCCAGCACCAGATAATCCTGGGTTCAAATCCCAGCACTATCATTTACTGGCCATGTGACCTATGACCTTTGAAGCCTCAGTTTCTTCATTTATACATTGGAGATAAAAATAAAATAAAGTTAAATTTAAAAGATAAAATTGGGCTGAGCACGGTGGCTCACGCCTGTAATCCTAGCACTCTGGGAGGCGGAGGCAGGCAGATTGCTCGAGGTCAGGAGTTCGAAACCAGCCTGAGCAAGAGTGAGACCCCGTCTCTACTATAAATAGAAAAAAATTAATTGGCCACCTAAAAATATACATACAAAAAATTAGCCGGGAATGGTGGCACATGCCTGTAGTCCCAGCTACTCGGAGGCTGAGGCAGGAGGATCACTTTAGCCCAGGAGTTTGAGGTTGCTGTGAGCTAGGCTGACGCCACGGCACTCACTCTAGCCTGGGCAACAAAGTGAGACTTTGTCTCAATAAAAAAAAAAAAAAAGGATAAAATTGAAGGAAGGCCTCTCCTTTGGGGTAAATTAGATAGACTTTCTGACAGCTTTGGTTACTCAACTGCCTTTTCCTTCTCTCTTTTTTTTCTTTGTTGTTTTGTTTCAATGAAATATACCCATGGTTGCAGCTATATTCTGGAGGGTTCCAATTACCCCAAGGCCAACCTCTGGAGAAGTGGATCTTTGCTAGCTATTTGAAAAAATTCTTTCTGAGATTAATTTTCTGACAAACTGATCTTACCAGCAGCACAGCATGACAGGTGGTTCAGCCCAGGACCTCAGAACCGCCCAGCTGTGCCCCTCACCAATGGCGTGACCTTGGGCAAGTTACCTAACCTCGGCACCTGCATATTGGCCCATAATATTTGGATAATAGTACCCCCTTTACTCGGGTGTTGTGCTGATTAAGTGAATTCATATTTATAATGTGCTCAGGTCAGTGTTTGGTATATAAGAAGTGCTATATCAGTGATTGAATAACTCATTAAATACCATTCTTGTAATTCAATTTCCTACATCCCAGCTCAAAATCATTCTGATGTGGTATTCAGTTGTTAACTATTTTAGGCCACTAGGGGGCCTGGTTTCTGGTAGAGCGTGGCACTGATGCAGAATTATGAAGATTTGAACCATAAGGAGTTAGATTTTTTTCCTCCAAGTTCTAGCATCTTGCCCTATTCTTTATTTGTGGCCCAAATTCTACCCTAATTTCCACTCTGTGCTGAGAAAGGACAGCATCATCTGTCAGACCGATGGAAAATTCATATTAAGCATAGCAAACTTTTATAAATCTCATTTCCTTCATTTGATTTTCTTATAGTTGGGAAAATAACTGAATGTGTTGATGTGAATGTCCTTTTCTTTAAATTTCTGTTAGGCGATAACAAAATCAGGTCTTAGAAATGATGATTATCAACTGATTAGCTAAACAATGTAGAAGAACATTCAAAAAGGGATAAATGGTTGAGAACCTACTTGAATTATTTCTCCTAAATTGACTAATTTTTTTTCCCACTGACTTAAATTCATTGGGAGTTTTGGGTCTTTTGGTTCAGCTTAATTGAAATTAAGAGGGACTGTCAATAAAATTTTAGAAATTTTAGAGGACTTAATGTAACTTTAGGACATTGCAAAGTAGATGAACAAGAAAATACCTTAGAAAATATCATTAAGAGTATCTTATTTTAACCTTTTGAAATATAGAGTCTTAATTTTTTAATTTCAAAGTGACTAAATCAATAAACTGACAAAATTAATAAACCTCTGCGGTTTCTGGGGACCTGACTTTGTCGTCTCCATGTCTGCTGACTCTCACCCAGAGTGACCTGCCCAGCCAGACACCAGCCCAGAGTTGGGAATTAAGATGTTGTTTAGGGATCGGAGCCCATGCAGGGAAGAGGAAAGAAGTAGGATCGGGCAGAGGGAGAAGTCAAACTGCCATGCCGGCCAACCAAACCTCAGCCCATGGGGTGGGCCCTGCAGAGCTTGCCTCCCAGATGCCCCTAGGCTGAGCCACAATGGCAGGCCGCCCTGGGAAGGCAGACCAAGGGGGAGCTGCCAGGGACCAGAGCCGGGCATCAGGCCTTCCCTGAAGGGATCACACTTCCCTTCCCGTGTGTTGATAGGCTTGCTAAGATTGCTTCATCTTTATCTCCAGAACGTTGAAGAAGAAGGCCTCCGAGCTTAATTTAGGGAAGCTGTTTTCCAGAGAGTGCAAAAGAAGGGAGATGAGGGGTCCCAGCCCAGGACCCCGTGAGCTCCCTCCAGGGATTTGGCTGAGAATGGGAGCCACCAGGCCCACTACCCACCACACTGATGTCCTCAATGTCCCTGTACCCACGTGTTGCTGTCCAGCTCTGTCTAGCAACTCCAGGGCTGTGCCCCGACACTGCAGCTTGGACTGTCCCAGGGCACACCTGCCCAGACACCGGCCACTCAGGGCCCAGCTCCTGAGTGTGTGAGGGGTAACGGGATGGTTCTGGAACCCTCCTGCTTTTGATACTAACTAAGCTTCGCATCCAGGCTATGTATCTTGAGGAAGCCATGGGCCGCTCAGAGCTCCCCACCAGGGGTGATGCTCAGACGCCATCTGTACTTATGATTAAGTACCTTATCACATTTTTTACAAAGTTATTTCATTTTTAATGATGATTTTCTGTGGGTCTTTGTTATAGTGTGTAACAAACAAAATTAGGAGCACCAGTTTTTGCATTTGGGTATGTCTACATTATCTCAGTACTAAGAATTTTTGTAAACACTACAGAAAATTGTTCCTTTTAAGCCTGATTTTATTAAGCTTAAGTTTTATTTTTATATCAGCTTAAATGTAGTCATCCTTATGTGTGTTTTTTGTAATACTTCAACACTATTTGAAACCAAAATAAATTATATTAATTGACACTTTAACAGACCATTAGCCCAAAACATACCAAGACATTGAATCAAGGGAAGTGGGATTATTTATTTATTTGGTCATTCTGCAACAAAGCCTCTTCCTTTCCCTTTATCTTTCATGTTAAGTATGTTGTTGGCGTGATCTATAAACATAGCCAGAGGCACAATAAGGATTACAGATAATTTAACCTTTCAAAAACATTAAATGAAACAAGACTTTACATTGAAGTACTAATTTGATGCTGTATTAAATTGTCACTTCAAGCCTCTAAAAAAAGAAGATGAGTGAAACATGATAATAACAGCAATTTCCAAAAGCCGGCGCCCAGGTTCACACTATCACGCGGAGATATAAATATTTATCTGTGGCAGTCCATCACTTAGAACTCTCTGCTGCAACCTCCAGTCAGCTGTGAATCTTTTAATGGCATTTCATTTTGCATGAGAAGAGCAACAGATCTGGGCTTCATAATCCTTGTTATTCTTGGTGAGTGTCTAAGAGCAATGGAAACCAAGATCTTGTGGCTGTTACATTTTATATGTTTTTGAAAGCCTGATTCCTTGTCATCCAGATATTATTGCATCACAGTTCTAACAAGCCCACAGTTAATGCAGGGAAAAAGTTCGAAGGGAGACTTAAGAAGAGAGAAATTTTGCCTTTGTTAATGATGTCATGACATAATTTGTAAGTAGATTTTTTTTTAAGTAGACAGAAAAAAATAAAAGCTGTTAGTGCTGGAAATGCAGATTACGACAACAAAAAGAAAAAAAAAATTACCAGCAAATAGAAAAGCTTCTGAGAGCACTCTTATTAAAAACAGAAGCTACATAATTAAACAATGGAGAGAAGTGACAAGAGATGCCCAGCCATAAAAATGCAAATGTGAACAGTGCTTAATAAAAATATTTTTTTAATATATTTTTAGAGACAGGGTCTTGCTCTGTGGCCCAGGCTGGTCTCAAACTCTTGGGACCAAATGATCCTCCCACCTCTGTCTCCCACGTAGCTGGGTAAAAACAATATTTTATTTTACCCCCCCCCTTGTAAATAAAATATTTTATGCAGTGAGTTTAACACTAAGAATAGGGAAGCTGACCCTGAGAATAATTGTGATTGAGCTAACTGTACGTATAGTAAGCAGCGGTGATTATCAAGTTCGCTTTTTAAAAATTCAGGAGTAAATATTCAGCACCTATTCAGGTAAAAGCTCAGTGTCATCGCTGCCTTATAAGCGTCTGAGTGCGGCCCCTCCAGGTGCCAGACGGAGCCGCTCTGTTTGATGTGAGAGGGAAGCTTGGCTGCAGGTGACCCAGGGAGCCCAGACAGGTGGAAATGACAGGTGGCATTGTGCATGGGCGGAATGCCTTGGGGAAAATGCCCTATTTGAGGAGCCGTTGAAAGGAGCGCTCTCCAGTGTCCTGTGGATGCTACCTGTGCCGGCACAAAAGAGCCAGCGCCTCTCTCTGATGTGTGCTCGTCTTTTCTGAGCCGCGCGCGAGACGGCCAGCATTGCGGGGTGTTCG